TGGAACTTTGTTTTGCAGCATGCCAGCCTTTCGGTTTAAAAGAAAATATTGAAAATGTTAAAATAAATACTAGGAGGGACGGGGAATCTGGGGTACCAAGAGAGATGGCTTGGGTTATATTGGTGCCCCCAGGTGCCACTTTGGAGAACCAAGTCTCAAAGTCAGCGCTTGTCATGAAATAAAATAAAACCAGTCCTGCATAATAGAAGTATGCAAACTGATTGTAGCTTCCATTCTGACTACTTGCAGCAATAAATATGTGACCTGGTGAGAAAACTCATAAGCTTTTGTGGGGCTCTACCTGGGGTTCCACTTTGTCACTAGTTTCAGAAGGGTACAGGGGGCATGATTTATTTAAATTGAGAGGGGTCAGGGAGTGAGTTTCTGGATTTCAGCGTGGACTTTTCTCCCATAATCTGAACACTGGGTCAGGCAAATTCTAAGTGCTCTCTTATTTGAACAAGACTTGTCTCTCCAGGCCCATCAGAGGCAATGTTGGAATTCCTGCCTAAAAGTAGTTTTCCACACTATGGATTCAAGAAGCATGAAGTAGAATTGGCAGTATCTCTTCCATTTGATTGCAGCTAGCCAACCAGCTGTGCTGTGGGACTTGCTTGCATCGGGACTTCTACAGTGTGTGAATTGCTGGGTTAATGAAAGCCTGCTGGTGAGTCCTGATGAGAAAAAGTCAGCATGGCTTTCTCAAGAGGAAGTCTTGTATCACTAACCTATTGCAGTTCTTTGAGAGTGTCCTTAAGCATGTAGACAGGGACGACCCGGTAGATGTTGTTTACTTGGACTTCCATAAGGATTTTGACAAAGTCCCTCACCAATGGCTCCTGAGCAGACTGAGCAATCATGGACTAGAAGGGGAGGTCCTCTTGTGGATCACTAATTGGTTAAAAAACAGACGACAGAGGGTGGGAATAAATGGCAACTTCTCCCAATGGAGAGATGTCACCAGCGGACTCCCACAGGGTGCTGTATTAGAACCAGTGATTTTTAGCACATTCATAAATGATCTGGAATTAGAAATAAGCAATAATGTGTCCAAGTTTGTTGATGGCACCAAACTATCTAGGATGGTCACAGCGATAAGGATTGTGAGGAGCTCAAAGAGATCTTTCCAAGCGGGGCCAATTCTTCTTATTTTTATTTATTAATTAAATCTTTTATATACTGTTCAATCAGCTGCAGGCTCTTTGAATGGTGTAGACCAAAAGCAAAACCACACCAGTGCATTAAATAATATCTACCTACCTACCTACCTATCTGTCTATCTAAAACCTTTATATGCCATCACCACATGCCTCGGGATGGCTTACTAATGTACAATTAAAGCCAATATAAATAAGTTGGGTATCAAGCAAGACACCAACATTTTCCAACCAATTTTTGAGGCTAAAAGGCAGCAAGAGAGTTCTTCTTGAAGAAAACCTCCTTGCAACTTAGTAATTTCCTCAAATATTGACCAGGAGCAAAGGTTCCTTTCTGGGGAGGAAGCAATGAGTTAGTCCAACTATGGACATGTGCTCCATCCACTCCACTCCTAGGCTGGTAGCTGACATGATTGTCCATAAACCAAGGGTCCTGCCAAGTCTTGCTGCTACCCTGGAAAGTGGCAGTTGGAATGAGGCACCCCAGAAATTTTAACCACCACCTCTTCCATTGGCGTGATACTTCAATTGGGAATCTGTGCTTAGGAGGGAGGTGTTTTGTTAAGAGCCCTGTGAAACTGCAAAGCCATGTAACAAACCCTGGGCCACCAGTGTGTGTGGTGTATTCCATCCCCCTGTGCTTCCCAAAGCACATAACATCTTTAAGAAAATTGATTTCCCTGCATTCATTTTCCGAAAGCCTTGAATATAAGATTAAAAGCTGCAACCCTAATTCTACATTACTTTCCTCTCCTTCAGACCCTTAACTATGATTAATATAAAAGGGCCTTGTCAAAAGCTTTGAAAAGGCAACCTTAGTATTGGTGCATGTGGGACTGCCTCCACTTACAGCATTATGCTATTTAACTTCTTATGAAATCTCCAATTTGCTTGTGCTCTTTGCTTAGCAGAAGGTAGCCATGCCTCCCCCTCCTCCCTTTTGCAGTAAGTTGTTAACCATATTGGGAGGGTAGAAACTTGCTTTTCTCTGTCAAGTTCCAAATTCTTCTTTTTAAAAGGTTTTCTCCTCCTTTAAGATATTTAAAAGCAGTTTGAACATGGTTGGTTAGCTGCATAGGATTTTTCCCCCGTCAGGTAGTTTCATGACCTAATTGAGACTTTTACTGTAGCATTATATTACAAAGGGCTGAATTTTAATTCAATTTGGGAATGAAATGGTGACTCCTGGAAGAAATTCCTATACCCAGAAGAGTAAAGGCCACCAGAAGCCTTCTACTCTGAAGAACAAGAGTAAGAATGTCACCAGCCCAGCTCCAACCATCAGCCAGAGGAGTATCCAGTCATCAGAAAGAGCAGTTGGGTTAAAACCCAATTTAGTCTTACTTAGAGTAGACCTACTGTCCTCAATGGAATTTATGTAATCATGACATTGTTTTCAGTGGATCTCCTGTAAGCATGACCAAGGCTCAATTCTATCCCTTGTTTCCTTCTGCTACTTTCCATAGAACCGTAGAAGTTAAAGGAAGGGACTCTGGTCTGTACCCAGCCAGAATCCCTTTTGGAGCAGGGCATATTTTTAATCATGTGTACTTGCCTTGCTGTGATTTGAAAATATTTGCAGGGGGCAGTTTGCTCTACACATGTGGGCTCTGCATATGATTTCAAGCCCCGACCTTCCTGGCTCCATAGATGTAGATCAGTAGTAGTCCTTTGTGACTAATACAGTTAACCATTTACAAATGGGGGGAAAAAGTAAAAGCATAGAATTTGATCGCATTGCTCATTGCAAAAACCAAACGGGCGATAGTTTATCTATCTGCACTTTAGTAAAAAAGACTGTATAAGTGACTTGCAGATAGGCATAAGACAGTCCCTGTCCTCTGATTTGCAGTGTAAAAGTCATGACACACACGGAAAATAGGATGCTGAGGGAAGAGGAAAAAAGACAGGCTTAGGCACTAATTCTTAACATTACAAGGATTGGAGAATATGTCCTGCTTCAGTTGACCATCAATTTTTTAAATGTTGCTTTTTGCTACAGACAAGTATATGAAGGAAGAGTACAGAAAGAGCTGTATGTGTTACAGTAACACTGACAGTTAAATCACAGTTCCAAACATCATCAATTTGTTCATGTGGCATGAATGATCTCTGTATCTGACTCAAGCTGTGGGATAAGGAATCCAATTGGTGAAATTGTTCTAGAGTGAGTGATGAGGCCAGTGAAGGAAGAAGGAAAAATTTAACATCCAGTCTAGTGAGCTTATAGAGGACTTTACGAACCATGAATAGAGGTGTGAAAGAAGTAAAGGCTATATATAAAAGGTGCAGGGCAAAGGAGATTGTCTGCTTCATAACTATCACAAGTCACCAACAAGAGCAATAAATAGGTATGCATCTGATGAGAGCTGCATCATATACTCTGATGTGCACCTTGTCATGAAACCCTAACTTTACAGTCTGTTGTAAAATCAGTCTGCTTATGGCATTGAAAAACTCAGATATTGTAATTTTCAGCTGCACATGCTAAACAAGGAAAGAAAACAGTGATTTGAGTGTAATCAAATGGTACTGCAAAATACCATTTTTCAGGCATTTGGGGGATTAGAAATTTGGAGTAGTAAACAGCACAAAGGAAAGGCAGACAACTTGGCCTGCACTAGAAACCACAATGGAAATACTACCTTTCAGATAAGTCAGTATGTAACTGACTTATCCATCAGCTAGAATCCATGCCAGCTGATTTTCCTCCACCTTGCCAATTGCATTGCACTAGCAGCCCTCTACCATGTGCACAGCGGCAATACAGTGCTAATGGGACAAGCTGGTATTTATTTATTTAAAGTTTTTCTGTATTGTTATTTAGCAGATACTCTCAGAACAGTGTATGAATGAAAATGCTTATTCCTGGAAGGAGGCAGGTCAGGAGAACTCTCCTAAGAGAACTCTGTCAACCTGCTTCCTTTTATAAACAAGAAGCTCCATTCATTTGAGGGCTTTCCCTTGTGTGTGTAGTGGGTCTTGCTCGTGCAGTTCAATCCCTGTGACCCACTGCTTGCATGGTGGAATGAATGAGCAGGATGGAAAAGAATAATTCAGGGTGGCCCACTGGATACTGCCCTAATGCCAACAGCAGGTGCATGCACATGCACACACACAGCTAGATAGCCATGGCCAACTTGCATAGTTCAGCTGCATGTATTTAAAATAGCTTGCATACCATTTTCACAAATTGAGCATACGTTGGATGACAGCTAGATGACATGTTGCAGTTCTTCATGATATTTTGAAGCTTGTCTTCCATGAGTTTTTTTTAATGAGGCATGAAGAACAACTAAGGCAGAAAGATGGTCGCCTTACTCAATGTCAAGTTTGTCTTGGAAGGCAGGAATACATAGTTATGTCCAAAATCACAATTTTGTAACTTATATGGAGCCATGTCCACACTGCAGCATAGTGCTAGTGCATCTTTTGGAACGAAAGGATAAGTGAACAGAACAGGAAATGTATTGGTTGGTATATCTTTGCTGGTCCTTTCAGTTAGGACTGAGGTGCTGATTAATCTAGAAGAATAGAACAGGGTAGTGTTTGCGGAACATACTACTGAATTGGCCACTGAAACGCAGTGGGGAAAAACCCCAGCAATTCTCCTTTCCACTCTGGCACATAAAGAGCATACAACTTGTTCTAAAGCAAACTCACTGTTTTTTTGCTATGACTTTGGCAGACTTGGGGGCCACAAGCAAGTGGAGGGGTGATGCTATGATTGATTTAATGAAAATCTATTTTCACTCCAGTTTTTCCAAGAATGAACAGAGTGATTCCAGTGTTTGCTCTGTATCTCATAATCACCACTTTCTCTCTGTTTATTTCCTTTCCCAGAGGATGTTAAGCAAGTCTTTGCCCAGACCACAATCCACCAGCATATTCCCTTTAACTGGGATTCAGAGTTTGTGCAGCTGCATTTTGGAAAAGATCGGAAAAGGCGGCTAACATACGCAGAGTTCACCCAGTTCTTACTGGTGAGTTTTGGTAATGAATATTCTAAATCTGAATAAACGAGAGAGAGAGAGAGAGAGAGAGGGAGAGGGAGAGGGAGAGGGAGAGGGAGAGGGAGAGAGAAGAGAGAGAGAGAGAGAGAGAGAGAGAGAGAGAGAGAGAGAGAGAGAGATTTGCATGGCTAAAATCCAGCCCCTGCCCAGCTGCCAGTACATTTCATTGCACACTAGCTATCTGTATTTTTAGACTGCTGGATGTCTGTGTGCGTGCCCATCAGATGTAGTTGGCTAGTGCTGAAACTGCTGCATAAGCAGTAATTTTTCTTTTGGCATCTGAAAGCTGCATAGATATTTTTGAACAGGATCCAGCCAACGTTTTCAATTTAATCCTGAAGGTGTGGTTCTGAGGAGCTGGCACTTGAGATGCTTAAAGGCATTGGGATAGGTTTTTTCCCCGTTTATTTCATTTCTTGAGTTCAGCTATGTTGGATATTTGTAACCAGAGGCAGGATATTTTCAGCTGTCACTGAATGAGATGCAACTTAGGCAAACCTTGCCAAACCTAAATTCTGGAAGTGGCAGCTTTAGATTTCAGGCGGATCAATGGATTCGTTCTGCTTCAAAGCTCTCCGGCAACTCCTTCTCTTAATGTAAACCTATAATCCACCAATGGCCTGGAGCAGCATTCTCCCTTAAGCTCTGTTGGGATACTATTCCCATCATCCTCACTCAGCACCATCTGGTGTTGTTGGCTAGGATGATGCAAGTTTTGTAGTCCAACATTGCTGGCAACTGCTAGGTTGGAAAAGGCTGGTCTACCATGGACTGAGTCTGTGTGTGTGTGTGTGTGTGTGTGTGTGTGTGTGTGTGTGTTTGAGAGAGAGAGAGAGAGAGAGAGAGAGAGAGAGAGAGAGATGTGATGAAATAACAGAACTTTTGAGTGTGTAGGGGTCCTGTTCCTCAACCCTAATATTAGATTTTTATAGTGAATATTCTTTTCCCCTGTATTTACAGCTGCAACATGTTTTGCTTTCCTATATTTCATGCTTGAGATGCATTACATTGAAAAAAAATCTGCTTTAAATACATGGTATTCTTAATAGTGTTGAACCCTCAGGAGACCGACAGACAAGGCAGAATGAGTACTTTGTTATGTTTCAAATGCATATGGTATAAAGAGTCTTCACACAAGAGAGTTTTGACAAAGGATCATATTTCAGGAGGATAGAGTCTATAATTTTGTTTACATAAGGATGTTAGTTCACAGTAGGAAGTGTTATCGTTTTGATGAGGAATAATTAAGATAATGCTACTAGGACAAATGTTTCAAATTGACTTGGTGGAGTAGAGCCTAATTAACTCTTTGTCTGAAGAGGATGTTGGATGTCTGATATAGTATAATCACATTATGTTAAGTCTTTATCGCTGTCATTTTGCTGACTTCACTTGAATTCTTATCTAGCCCAGCTTTTCTCCTTGGAAGATGATGGAAAATGTAGAGCAACACAAATTCTAGACCATTACAAGGAGCAGCTGTTCCAAATTCATCATCCTAGAAATACAGGCCTTTTCTACCCAACTACCTGGCAACCAGTGCAAAACAGCAACTGGTCAGTAGCACAGTTCACCAGAAGTGCTTCATCTAGGACTTCATTCAAATAGAAAACGTGTGTGAGAGCTGAAATTGCCTTTTCTGCAGGATCTTAGAGGATTTTGCTGTGTGTGTTGCAGGGGAGTGTGTCTCAACTTGTTCACACAATTATGGAATAGCTGCTTTGTCTAAAGCAGTAAGGCATTCCAGGGTTTTCCCATTTCTCATGACCTTAAGACAAAGACAGAACCCTGGGACGTTTCCCTCTCCATGCACTATAAAATGTCATACACCAGAGATAACACCACGGGGGCCATGCCTGAATCTGGAATTTGGCTTCAGTTGAAGGTGCAGCCAACAAAATTAGTTCAGGAACCTCATATTTATGCATAAAAGTTTTGGCCAATCCTGAGATGTCTTTACTGCCTTCTCATCACAGGAGGCTGACCTTGAACATCCACTATTATCAGCAATGTCTGAAAAGGACATTGTAACCATGACACGGTCATAAGGGGCAAACAGCACTTTCTAGTAATCACATTGCTCTAGTTGAAACTGCTATTTTTATTTTTTGTTATGGTCATCATTATAAATATTATTTATATAGAGAGCATCAAATATTAGGTGGCATAGAAAAAAATAATATTCTGCCTTTTTTCCTCTTGCAAGGAACCCAAGATGGCCTATGTGGTCCTCTTCTGCATTTTACCCTCACAAGAACCCTGTGAGCTTGTTATACTGAAAGGCAGTGATTGGCCCAGAGTCACTCAATGCATTTCATGGCCAAGTAGGAACTTGAACCCAGATCTCCTGAGTCCCAGTCCAGCACATTTACCACAATACCACATTGGCTTTTCCCTGTTTTTCTTTAATTTTGTGTGAGCAGGCATGGGCTTCAGGCCCAGGCTGAAGAATATTCAGGTCAAAACCACAATATTTCAGGTGGGAAGACTCAATGGAGACCTTTTCCTTTCCTTTTATTAAACTGCTTTCCCTTGGGGATGGTGGGTAGACATCAGGGGGAAATGGGGGAGGTTAATCTTTCCTCCTGTCCCCCCCCCAAAATACTACCCCCTTCCACCACCCCAGTAGAAAAGGGTTTAAAAAAATGTCTTGCATTTTTCCTCCCCAAATGCCATGGTCCTTAACCTGGTTTGGGTCTCTTGTGTTCTTATATGAGGGTAAAGAAAAACAGGAGTCTCAGCAACATCACCAGCAATGTGTGCTTTGGTCCCCAGGTAGTTCATTAGACTAGATTCCAGTGTGAAGGCATGAAATTCCTAGCTGCAGCACAGAGATCATTGACCTTAAGAATAAACAGAGTGAAGAGCAACTGCTGTTCTTTCCAGAAGTGTTGCTGAAACTTTAGCTGTGCTGTTCACCCTTTATTATGTCAAGGTATCCTTCCCCTGCTGGAACATACAAATAAATCAGAAGTGAGATCGGGGTGATTATTCTTAGATGGCCAAATATGTGTAGGACTGCCCTCTGATTCTAGGGATAGGAAATAGAGTTTATTATGGCATTTCTCCATTTTATTTATTCCCAATGATTAAGTTAAACCCAGTAGAGTTTCAGGGTAAAAGGGGGCCCCTTAACCTTTTGAGATACCCTGTGGCTTTAAGATGCCTGCTTGGAGTGGGGATGAAAGGTTTGGAAGTGAGACTTGTAGAATGTATTGTCTTTCTTTTCCCCACTCCCTACAATAATTTCAGCTCAGCTGAGTAAAGATCTTTTTAAAAAGGGGGTGGTGGCAGCAGAGGAAAGCATTGCATGGTAGGTATTATTAACTAAGTTCCAATATACCAAAGACTGCTGTACAAAACATAGCATTGCAGTACTAAATTGTGTAGCCACACTTTAAATGTGAAGGCTTAGAGTGACATTCTGCTACATTATACAGTATCAAGTTCAGTATTTGTATATGCTTTGCATGAACCAGCATTTATTCAGTAGAAAATACTGGTCAGAATTTTGAAGATCATTGATCTGTCATTGATTATTGATCACATTGATGTGCTGTCTTGGAAGTATCTTTTACTTTGTAGAAGGATGTCTATTATTCATCTGCTCATGGTTCTCAGTTTCCTGAACAAAGAGCATGAGCCAGGATCCATTATTGCTTGGCCCTGGTGTATCTTGAGTTGGGATATTATGTCACACTCATTCATATATCTGTCTAGAGAGCAAACTGCTAGAAGAGCAAGACCAAACCATGGTTCAGCCTTGTCCAGCATTCTGCTCACACAGCTCCAACCAGCTGCCTGTAGAACACCCACCACTAGGACACAAACACAACAACACACTCCCAGACGTATCTGATACTGGAGGTACAATATATTCATGAGAACTAGAAGTCATTGATAATCTTAGCCTCTGTGAATATGGCTAATCCCCATTTAAAGCCAACCAAATTGATGACCACCCTTTGTAGCAATTTCCCTAGCTTAACTGTGCATTGGTTGAAGAGTGCTTCTTTTTCTCTGTCTTGAACCTCCCACCAATCAGCTTTATGGGATTAAAATTATGAGAGAGGGAAAAATGTCTCCCTATCTACTTTCTCCATATCATGCATAATTTTGTACACCTCCATTGTGTCTCCACTCACTTGTCTTTTTTTCTAAGCTAAGCAATCCCAGATGTTGAACCTTTCCACATAAGGGAGCTGTTCTGGCCCCTTGATCATTTTAGTTGCTCTCTTCTTCACTTTTTCCAGCTCCACAATTTTTAGGTACGGTGACTGGACTTGTACTCAATTAGGTGTCCCTGACACAGTGCCTTCCTATGATGCTCTATTCTTCCAACATTTATTTTTAATTTTGGAAACCTTAAGAATTTTAGGTGCTGGGATTCCTTCCTATTCCTGAACCTGTTGCTGATCAGGGAGCAGGAGGAGAAGGAAAGAACTGCTTCTGGTCTCACCCAGTCTCCTGTCCACGTGAACCTTTCCCATTTTCTCTTTCTCTGTCTTTCCTTTCCCAGCTTCTCACCTTCCCAGTTTTTCCCCTTCCCAACCCCTTTCCTTGCTATCTGCTTATTTATTATATTAGTATCCTGCCCCTTTTCCTCTTGCAAAATGCCCAAGGTAGCTAGCATTATCCCCCTTCTTTCCATTTTATGCTGACAGCATTATATAAAGAGAGGCAATGCCTGCCCAAAGTTGAGAGTCAGTGACCGATTCAGTGAGCTACATGGTGAAATGGGGGCAAGAGCTTTGGTTTCCTGGGTCCCAATCCAAAACTCCAACCACTACACATTTGCCTTCTTTTCCTTTACAGCCCCCTTATCCCATCACCTTGCTCTTTTTCTCCTCTCTGCCTTGTTGCCTTGCCTTTACTCTTTCCCTTACTGTCGCTTTCTTCACTGTTCCTCTCACGAACTAACCAAAATGTTTGGAGACCCCTGGTATACAATATGTCAGTGGAATGAAACCTGGCCATTTCCTTTGGCAGCTCTGCTGCCACTGTTCTGCAGAATTCCATGGACGGGTGTGAGTGCTTCTGGGTACATCATGCCTGGAACTCCTATCTTGCCTTCTAGGGGCCAAGTGTGGCCCTTCCACTGAGAGCTGTGCTCCCTTTTTCCCATCATTTGTGCAGTTTTTTTACCATTCTAAACAGCTTGAAAAGACTCTCCTAAGCTTAGTTACTGGTCGCAAAGCTTCAAGTTGAAATATGCTAGTATTTGGCTGTTCGTGCTTTGTGTTTGGTCTCACCCACCACCACCCACAAGAGCTTCTCCAGAATGAAATTTGTCCCTTAAGCAGTACTCCAGTGTACAGTCTCCTCCCCAATGCAATGAATGACTCGTCTGTCCTACCCCACCTGCCATAAGATAGATCTTTAAAGCCATAAGCAGAACATACACCTCCATAAGGCAGTGAGCTCCCATGGATCTGGACTGAGGCCATGTAGCTTCTAGGCAGGTGAGAGTGCCAAATAACCTTCCAGCATGGGTTCTTGGGTTGGGATGCTTCTGTCAAAAACTGCCTGTAGCATATGATTTAGAGTTACTGTTTGAATTAAGGAAACTTTGGCATTTAACCCTTATCCTTTGATGCTTTCCATGTCTATGAGTCAGCCACCTTGTTCTGGTGTCTAGACCTTGGACCTTAAGACAGCAGGAGATCACAGTTCTCTCAGTGTGCGAATGCTTTTTATATTTTGCTTAATTTGTACCAGATGAGATACCATAGTGTCCTTTAAATAATATTTTGCAAATACAGCTCCACTTGCTGCCTATATTTATAAAAATAATAATAAAGGAAATTACAAGTAGCTTGTAACTGCCTGCTGCCTGTCAACTATGATCATTCTGTTTCTTCTGTATAATATTGCAGCCCATCTCTTAGAAATAGTGGTGTGTTGCATATTCTGCTCTGCTTTTCTTTTTCTTTTTCTTTTTTAACACTGAGATATACAACAGGACCTGCTGCTTGGTGGAAGTTGTAGATTCCTAAAATCTGAACAGCATGATGCAGAGTCATAAACCAAATTGGATTGCACATGAGCTTATGGACATAAAGTGGGTGTTCAAGAGAGAGACTGTAAACCTTTTGACTATTTGACTAATTCATTAAATGATTTGCTTTATGCATATCAATATAAAACTAAATATAAAGCAGCATTCTTCAGCCTGGTGCCCTCCAAAAGTATGGGACTCTCTTCATTCCTAAACAATATGGTCATTCTCGGGGAATGATTGAAATTTTAGGCCCACATATCTGGAAGGCACTGGATTGCTCTGATAAGGGCTTTCTCCAATAAAGAGAGTTTACATGATGCAATAAGGCATCACAGCTGACTAGCCAAAATACATTCTTGTGCTGGCCAAACCTAGGCTGCTTCTCACTGGGTGGCTTTTTTTGTCTGCAAGCCTATCTTGGCTTGTTCTAAGGTTGTTCTTGATGATGTTGATGATGATGATTACATTGCATTTATATTTTTTCCTCTTGTAAGGAACCCAAGGTTGCTTACGTTGCTCCATTTTATCTTCAGAACAACAATCCTGTAAGATGGGTAAGACTGAGAGTGAGTGACTGTCCCAAAGTCACCCAGTGAAATTCATGACTGAGTGGGGACTAGAACTCCCAGATCCCCAGTCCAGTACTCTTAAGTACCACACCACAATTGTCATTCAATCCCTGATGGTTTCCATGTCGTCCAGACTCACAAGAGTAGTTTTCATTGTGGGATGTGGGTATTGGCTAGCAAACTGCTTAACAAGAGCTCCCAAACCCTGCCACTCTTCATGACTTCCTAGTTGCCGCCACCAGTGAAAGCCTCTCCATTGATGCCCAAGTAGCATTTCGGAGTAACTGTCATGGTGTCATCACTTTTCCTTTGGCCCCAGTAAGTGCCCCAAATAGGTGCTGTGAAAAGATAGGGGAAGTTAATATCTCCCCATTCTAGAATAGCTAAAGAAATATTGAAAAGCTGGAGGTCGCTAAGAAATGTCTGTTCAACACTTAACATTGTGGGGACTATTTTGTTAAGAGGTAGATACTGTTATTCCCCCTCCCCTTTGGTGGATCTTCTTTTACAGCATTTCCCTCCATTACCAATACCTTTCAACTAACAATTTAGCAATTCGTCCCTGCCAACTGTTGGAGTCTCACTTTGTCATTTCCCATCTATGCTACCTACTCCACTTCTGTGCTCCCTCTGACAGCAAAAATATACAAGGAAATTGACCTGGCAAGGCAGTACATATAGGATGGCAATAATGATAATGACAATACCACTAGTGTGGTGTAGAAGTTAGTATGTTGGACTGGAACTAAGGAGATCCAGGTTCTAGCTCTCATTCAGTCATGGAGCTCACTGGTCATTCAGTCTAATCTACCTCACAGAGTTGTTGTGAGGATAAAATGGAGAAGAGAGAGAAGTTTGTGTAAGCCATCTTGGATTCCTTGCAAGATGAAAAAGGACAGGATATAAATATAGTAAATAAAACAAAATGATGAACACAATTGTACAGTTTTCTGGAGCTGAAAAAAATGTAAAACTTCAGTTGTTCATTTTGGAAAAGAACAGAGAGGCAAATGAAAGGGAGTGGCAGTCAAGTGGAGAAAGGAAGACAAAGGGATCCTGCTGCAAAGGACTCTAGGATACTGACTTGAGGACCAAGAGGAAGAAACCACAGTGAGCCTGATCATCTGTTGGGTGCACCATCCATTAACAATATGCACTGCATAGTTCATTCATAGGGTGGCTTAGTATGACGTGCAAATGCAACCAGTATCTAGCTGTTAAATATGGTATTAGGGAGACACTGTCTCAAAGCCTGCAGTCTCTGCCCAAAGTCTAACATCAGATTTCTACATTATGTTTTACAAGTGCTCATTTTATGGCTTGGTTAAATAACTTCAAGTGTATGCTAGTATGTTATTCTGTACTGGAATGCTCGTTGATGAGGTAATAATACCTGTCAATGGGACCTCACAATATGCAGAAGTGGAAAGAACTGGGCTGCATCAAATGAATTTTGATCAATTGGAAGTATCAGTCATACCTAAACATAATCATTCCATACCTGGGAAATAAAATGGCTTTATGAGCTGTAACAGGAAAGACAGAATTGGGAAGTGTGTGTGTGTCTGTGTAAAAATCAAGTTGGGAAATCTTTTCATTAAAGCTCTGGTGCCAGAGTTCCTGTTATCAACTGCAAATTAATTTTGTATAAACACTTATTGTGGTTTTTTAGGAATTCAGACTCCCAGCATCAAGCAATGAGGCTGTTTTAAAGTTATGTAGAGGGATTACACCACCTCTAATCTCAGGGACATTTGACGAGCTATTTATTTTGCACTGAAAAGCAGTTGAATTTCTTTTCCTTGCAAAGCTATTTAACCCATAGTTTACTGAATCCAGAAACTCTTCAGTACAATGTAAGAAGCTCCCCAAACCATGAGCCAGCTGCAGAAATGGAGATGGTGCTGATGGGCATGAGTGAGCCAGCCAAATTAACTTCCTAGTTCTTGAAATCAATGAAACTTAACTTTGTATCATGCCCTGTGCCTTGAATGCCAACATTATGAATACATTTTACACCATTTCCTAATGTTTATGAATAGTTTGCCCAGTTCTTTTCAGTGTCTTTTTATTTTTTTATTGAATGAGAACTGTATAGATTTTTAAAGTATGATTGTATCCAAGAAATCCTTTCCTGTTAAAAATATATAGCAGGAATTGGAGAGAATGCCATCTCTGAAGTTATCCTTTCTTTCATGGGATTGGATTTATTTTGTGAGTGATGTTCTACTCACAGAACAAGGCATCCTTGAATTCTGGTGCCTTTTTTGCTGACATCCCTTCAGATTTGCTCCTCTCCCACCTTCCACTTCCGTTTGCTGAAGCTTTGCTGGATCCAGGTCCTTATGGTGAATGAAAGGAGCTCACTGGATCCAAGCCTGTTGGTTTGAAAGTCAAACTTTGGAAAATTTACTCAATCACAAAGCAAAATAAAACGACCATCTCACAACCTATCATTCACAAATTAATGAAAACTTTGTAACTAAATATAATTATATGGACATTAATCCACAAGAACTCATTTCCACAGAAATCAGTATTGCTATATTAAAAAGACTTACTGAGAAGTTATCTGCATTTCATTCCTGGAGTGGCTTGACCATTGTAGTCTTTCTAAGGAACTTCATACATCTTCACACTGTGAAAACTCCCAACAGATTTCTTTAAATGGTCACACCATTCCCAGAGTTCAGCTGGTACTCTAGGGGTCTCTTTTCTGCCCTACTGTTAAAGAACAGTGGAACCATCAGTGAAATAAGCAGACTGCAGCAGCATTAATTATGGACCTTATTTAATGGTGCTTTTTATGTGTTATAGGAAATTCAGTTGGAACATGCAAAACAAGCATTTGTGCAGCGAGATAATGCCCAAGCTGGAAGAGTCACTGCCATTGACTTTAGAGATATTATGGTCACCATCCGGCCTCACATGCTGACACCATTTGTTGAAGAATGTCTAGTAGCTGTAAGTATTTGCTGTATGAGACCATTAACATTATTGGAGTCCTGCTGGGAAAGAACATATAGAAGGTGGTAGAGGAATAGCAGAAGGTCCTATTTACTTCAAGGTTATTTTTCTGTTCTTTTTTGTTTTTGCTAGTATCCATAACCAAGATGCAAGAGAAGGAGTTAAAATTATACATTATAGATGCATTTAGCCATTCATGAGGTTTTCTTCTCCAGCAGATCGTGATACTATCTTCTCAGGCCCAGAATAGTAGCCAGCAACCTTGGGCTGTATCAGATGACCTGTTGCACCATCGGTAATATTTTGTGCTGTCTTGACAAGTTACTATTCCCTGTCAGGATAATTATGCATGAAAGTCTTGTTCTGTAAGGCTAACAATCTGCTTATGCAGGGTTGGCAACTTGTTCAGCAGCAGAGGCCACTTTGGAAATGGATGATGAGCTAGAAGCTCATATCTGCTTTGCATGTTTTTAAATATGCTTAAACACAACTTATTATTTGCATGAACCATTGCATGACATCTTACCTAGATGGCATGCTACTTTGGACTGTAGCTGTAGCTCAAGACTTGATTCAAGTACATTTAACCCTAACAAAAACTTGAGGATTTATGGGATGATATTTCACGTTTAGTCTGGCATGCTGGACTGCTTAAAAAGAGCTTCTTACTAATGCACTAGTCATGAAGCAGCTCAAAAACAAGCCTGGAAGATTTTTAATACTTTGATGTTGTTACCTTCATTCCATTGCCTGTATTTTTCTAAACCTTCCTCATTTGTGCTATTGAAAATAAGCAGCGTTTTGCTCATGTTGGGTGTCATTATGAATTTTTTTGAAGGTTTATAGTCCCTTTTAGTCAAATAAATTTCAAGGTGGTGTAAGGGGATTGTTGGGGTGGGGGGTTTGCTATTATTACAATCTTCCCAAATGCACACATTGGCCCATTTCATATGTGACAAGAACCCAAGGAGTTGTGCATGGTGGCACCTGCCACCTGATCCTTCCTGCTGCAGGACTGAGTGCTTCACGACCCAGGGATGCCAGCCTTTCATGATTTAGCATGGCATGCAAACCTGGAACTTAGGCTGGGTAGGGAATGACAAGCCTAGATTGGAACCCAAGACCAGTTAGGCAATGTGTAACAGAATAGTGCTGCCTCAGTTACAACCCAGAATTTGAAGAACAAACAAAAACAGGATGTTGTTCTTTGCAAACTGAGCCATACACACACAGCTGAGCACCCTTCATTCAGTGGCTGATGGTAGCAGCAGTCCCACTGGAACTGGAAGCTGGAGCTAAGTTTTGTGGGGTGGAGTGAAGGGAACCACAGTCCCCTACATCTGCTGCTGCTTTGGATTTTAAAAATGGCATTAAATGTAATTTCCCTATTATGCCTTCATACTCATAAATAAATAACATAAATATGAAAACTTCAGTTCCAAAGAAACTAACCTAAAGTCAAATTACAGAACAACAATAAATAAAAACAGCAATAGACACAAAAAATATTTCATCTAGGTTTTAAAAATCATATTCAAAATTAATTTAAAATCTTTAAGCAAATAAAAAGCATTTAAACTAGTCCCAGGAAGATTACAATGTTGGTGCGAAGTGTAAATCTGATGGGAGGCACTTCCAAATTGGAACAGCAACACATAGAAGGCCTTCCCTTTTGTAGATAATAAATACGGTTTTTTATATAAGGAATACAGAAAGGTTCACCTCTGAGACAGGTTGATTTTAGAGGAGTTGGACATTTGGATTTTTAGGGCAGAAAGTAAGCACTCTGCTGATAGCAGAAGTCAGAATGTGTTTCTCTTCAGAGAATAATTGCATAATTCCATCATATTGCAAATAAGCAAAAAAGATCTGCATGCCCAAGTTAGCTCTCATTCTGTTATGACATTTAAAAATATATTTTTATTCTTTATTTCCCTTTTGGTGCATCTTTTAGGGACATTCTTGTATTATATATATATTCAGATTGTGTTCTGAGTAGTTTTACTGTGTTCTCAAGCTCTTTCATGAAGGGAAATCTGCATTTAAGCCTTAATTTCACCTTTACTTCCAAATATGCTAACTCTGTATTACTTTCACAGTCAATAGTGCAAGCAAACCTCCAGATTCCTTTTGCTCACAAGAATGTACTGTATTTCATATTTCTGAGAAATTGTGTACACACCTACTATCCAACTATGTTATTCTGCTAGCACAAATAACCATTGGAAAGCTGTTTCAGTACTATGCACAAGAGGAGTATCTAACAAAGGGACCATTTTGTTGCAGCTGGGTTTGCAACTGGTTACAGAGGCAGTTGCTCAGCCGCTTGCACAACTGCTTACCTGATAGAAAGGTTCAGCAGGTCTCCACACCAATACTCTTTGAGTGTATGGAATGACATACAGTGAAGCATTGAAGGCATGCTCTTGATTTTTGCAGCTGCGTTATGCAGCACTATATGCATTATAATGATGCAGATTGGATGCCAAACTGTTAAAATCAACATCGTGTCACTGCTTGTAGTATGTGTACTATTTAGAGTAGATGTGGAGGAGTTGAGAAATAGTTAAAATGTAGCTGGGAGTTTGAAAGATAATGCAGGAATATGTCAAAATACTAAATTGTAACAAATGAGTTCCAAATTCATTGAAATTAGCCTTGAAAGAATGATAAGATGAATGTGTGCCAACTTAACGTGTATACTTATCAGGACTACACTTCAGTTTCTTTCCAAATTTAGAGTTTTAGAAAAAATCATTTTTATGTATATCTCTGGTTATGAATCCCATTCAGTACAGACTTTTTCAAATCAAATATATCCCTGCATTAGCTTTATAGTGTTTAGTTTCTCAGGACTAGTATCATAGCAACCACCATCTAATGCATCTGTAATACAGTTCTATCCCTTCTTTGATATTTTATTTTATTATTTTATTTCATTCTATTTTATTGTTTGTGTTAAGGATGAAAATAGCTTCACTAACAGAGTCACCTGTCCAGATCCTGGGCCAGAACCTTAGGTTGCTAATGCCATTATCTGCTAGTATGTAATACTGAGAGCTGGTCCTGAGCAGGCATAAACATTAATATACTGAGATGGTTGTCCAGCTGTTTTTCCATGCATTCATTCAAATGTTCCTTTAAAGACAGCTGGGCATATTGTTAAAATAGAAACCATCAATATTGTGATTGCATGCTGTGTTACAAAGTAGGACGTGCCACTGATAAATGATACAATGTATTAGGTTGTTTTTAGAGAGCCCCACTTCAGTCTCTGGCATGTTCAGTTAAAAGTATCTCACTGTTAGGCTTGGAATAGACTGAGGCTTGGAGGAGATGGTATTGGGCTAGAGAGGTCAAGGAGAGTTTGCCTCAGTGCAAGGCAAAACTATATGTTCCTTTTGCTCTTTTAGCTCCTTTGAGTAAAGAACTGAAGTGTTTCTCCAGAGGGTCAAGGTTACCACCTTTACTGTGGTGGCCCTATATATTTGGAATGCCCTCCCAGAGGAGTTCGTGTTGCTTCTTTGCTAGCCTTAAGGATAATTTGATTCTTATTTATTACAGCCTGCATTTGATTAATTGTGGAATACCATGCTTTCAACCAAGGTTTTATCTGCTGCTTTCTTATTTGCTATGTTAATAGTTGAGGTATTGAATATTCATTGCTTTTTATGGTTGATTGATTAACTATTTTGCATTCCAAGGAATATTGTCTTCCTGCTTGTGGGTTTTTACCCTGAAAAACAGAATATAAATCTGTTTCATAACAACAGAGGTGATGGTGGTGGAGAAGGAAGAACCTACAGCCTATATATACATGTATATATAAAGAGATTGAGAGAGAGAGAGAAAGAGAGAGAGAGGGAGGTTGAGCCAGTCAGTGGGTAAAATAGAGGTTGTTCTGCTGTTTAGGGGGCTGGGGACACATTGTACTCATCTCTCTAAGTTAGTCACTTGATACAGGGAAGATTTTCTTGTAGTAAGACTTTGGGTTTAATTGTGGCACTAGAAATAATGCTTTTTAAAGATAAGAGTATTTCAATGAACTGAATGTAAAAGCAAAGTTCAAGAAATCTTACAAGAAGACTCTGTTGGCAATTTGGTGTTCTCTGTATTTAAATATTAAAGCAGACCCCCTCCCCCCTTTGTGTAGCGTACTTGATTTTGTTGACCCCTCCCCCCCAGCCTCAGACATTAATATACTTGGCATTTTTAAGCCTTTGAGATTTGCTCATTAGAAGAAATAAAGCAACTTATAAAACATATTTGACTGCAGCAGTATTGAAACTTGAACTCTGTAAATTACCACTGGCCATGTTGTTATAATCCCGCATATGCATTTGTTTAGGTTTCACTGGAATAGGGGGAGCAGCTTGCATGCTGGTCATGATTAGCTTCAGTAACTTAAGAATCTATTATGGTTTTTTTCCATTTTGCATTTTAAAAATCCCTTGCTACTTCTATTGCTGTTTTTAAACTAACAATATTCCCAAAGTCTTTCTCTCCCATGTTCCATAAATGTTCAGGTTATATTATTTTTAAATTAATAACCTACATCTAATATCTCCTTTTTTTCTTGCTGCTTTTCTCATTCCTTTCTTTATTCTAGGCTGCTGGAGGTACTACGTCACATCAAGTCAGCTTTTCCTATTTTAATGGATTTAATACCCTTCTTAATAACATGGAACTCATTAGAAAAATCTATAGTACCTTGGCTGGACATAGAAAAGACGTGGAAGTGACTAAAGGTTAGTTGAAACATCACTATAAATCTCCTCCTGCAGAGCACCCCCCCCATCTTTTTAGGGTTTCAGGTGGATGCATTGTCACAGGTAATAGGAACTATCTGAATCTATTGTGTGCATGTGCCTTCCCATTTTCAGTTACTTCTGCCTATTGGAATTTGTTGGGAATCTACCCTGATTTATAATTCTTAATTTCAGTGAAACATCATGGTCCTAAAAGCAGGATTGAATGAGCAGACTATGTAAAGACATTTAAAGATTTCAAAAACTTCCTAGGATTTCTGCCAAATTGGCAGCCTGTTAAAGTGACCTTCAAGGATAGTTGAAAAATCCATAAACTTGTATTGGCATTGCAGTAAGCTGATCTACAAGCTTGGAACAAGATGTTATCAGCTGTATCTAACCACTTTTCTAGAGAACTCCCTCTGTAGTGCCAACCCTGCATTAATATAACCTGCAGGGGCACACATGCAAGAAAAGTTCCAAATCTCTGTCTCCTTCTCTCTCTCTCTTTTCTACTCTGACCCACAACTGATTGATACCGTATGTCAAATATCCTAAATCCCGCTGTTAGCACTAAGCTATAAGGCCAGACTGCTTCTCTGATTTGTATGATGGATAGAGTATTTAAAACATACATTTACACAGTGGCAGGCACACTATTTGTGGTATTTCTTCTTCTTCTGCAGCATATTGGTTTAATACTAAATGTTGGTGATTCTGGGACATTTGTGGATAGCTTTCAGTGTTGTTTGATTAGTTTCCCCTTCTGTATTCCCTTATCCACCCCCTTCTTCTGTTGCAGAGGAGTTTGTTCTGGCAGCTCAGAAATTTGGCCAGGTTACACCCATGGAAGTTGACATCTTGTTCCAGTTAGCAGATTTATATGAGCCACGGGGGTAAGTTGAAAATTACCCTTTTCTTTGCTGTGGAAAAAAATGGAAAAAACCCCAGCGTGTTTGAACGAAATATTGCCTACCATTGCAGGTAACGGTTTTCTGTAGCATTCAATACAAATTTTACTTTTGCAATCACTTTGTCTCCTTAGACGTATGACAATGGCTGACATTGAAAGGATTGCTCCTTTGGAAGAGGGCACATTGCCCTACAACCTGGCTGAGGCTCAGAGACAGGTGAGGAGGCAAGGCACTGGTGGGTTGCAAGAAAAGTAGTGATGCTTTCACTGCCTGATTTCAATCCTTCCCAGCAGCAAGCCGACGAAGTCCTTGGTATGGTTACATTTAAGTTGCATCAACTCCTTTGCAGATTAAATATAAAAAGCATTCTCTTTCATTTCATTGCTGTTGTTACAAACGTACATTTTAGTTGGATCTTCACTCAACCAGAAAACATAAAGGCTGGATTAGTTTACATGTATCTTCCCATCATGATCTTTCCACTTAAAGAATTAAAGCAGGCTTGACAAATGTAATGACAAAACCAGTAATGGTAAAAGAGTCAAGGTCTCATTTTAAGAAATTGAGGGGCGGGGGGCAGGGAGATAGTAATTTGGCTCCTAAGCTAGCTGATTTACCCTCCCTGGTCATGTTATGGAATGCTTTTAATGAAGGAAATAATGTTTTGCTGTTTATGCCAGGCATATCAGTTCTGGCACCCAGTCTACTAAGAGAAACCACTCTGCTTGGAGATATCCAGCGTTTCTTTGTGTTGCCTGCCTGTTGCAATCCCTCTTCAGCTGTACATTGAAATGAATGATAGTTTTGTTTAGTCTGCCATAATAGTTTCAAATCTTTAACATCATGGGGAAAACCAACTGCTGCTGGTGGTGCTGTTTTGTTTTTGTTTTTAATAGTCTTAATTGTTAAATGTTTGCATGCGGGAGGGGTGAGGGTATGCAGAAGTGTCATGGTACAAAGGACAAAAAAAGGGGGGTTGTCAGCTTTTAAAAAACGTGTTATTGGACTCTTTCATATATTGAAAACTGACACAAACCTGGGTGTAGTTCTGTTTTTCCAAAGCTATCACTTAAGTCAAACCAAGTTCTGTATATTGAGAACTGAAGGGTTTCCCCCCTCTGTCTGTGCTCTGGGTCTGTGCAGAGACGCCACTTTGACCACAATGAGTTGATTCAGGCTACATTTTTGGGTCTAATAGGCCTTGAGCCAGGCCCTCCTCACTTGGCTGCCTCCCACCCTGCCCCTCCTCCCCACCCAACATCACCCTACAGCAGCATATTTTTAGCCTTGCTTCAGGAGCGAGGATGCTTGCTTACCAGCTCACTTATAAAACCCATTCAAAGAGAACTGAAAGAGGTAGAGACTAACCAACAGCCTGCACATTACAGATCCCCAGCTGGGAGCTTCAGCAAACACCTTGCAGATGGGCACTTTTTCAAGAGGCATTACTGTCTGAGCTCTGGCATTGAGCACGTGGCTAGCCATCCCTCAGAGCTGCAGCTCCCTCCTGGAGAAGCTGCCATTTAAATACTCTTCACCTTGATCTTCAACTTAGGCTCCACAATTGAGTAGATCACTCTCCAGAAATACCTTGGATTGTTAACAAGGTATTGCATATTACTTCAGGTTTCAGGAGCAAACTGTTGCATGGTTTGAGACGTGCAGTGTTTGTCTCGTTTTCTCCTTTGCAAACCCTTTTAAGCATGTCTTGCATGTCCAGTGCAGTTTTCTCTCTGCTCCAGCAGTTTCTACACAAGAATCTTGAAACTGCAGAGAAGGACTGTAGCTCAGTGTTGGAGCTCATGCTTTGCATGTGCGGCTAAGAAAAATAGCCTTATGAAACCCAAAGAGCCCATGCCCATCATTACAGTCAGAGTATGAGACAGCTTCCTGTGATCCTAGTTGTGGGAAAAATTCAGAATCGGTATTTTGTGCAGCAATGAGAATCTGCTCTGAAACAAAAATGAAAGGCAGTCTGAGTTTGTCAGAGCTAACTTCTCAGTGATACCGATTTCCCTTCTTTTTTAAAAAGTATTTCAATATTGTGAGAAGAGAGATGTTCAAATGACAAAAGTTAATCTTCCATTCCTATAAACAATTCTGTTTTGGCTGTAATTTAACTGGTATGTTAATGTTTTCTTTCTAGTAGGTTAGGATTAAATAACTGGCAGTGGTACAATAAACTGAGTAATATATTTTTATTGCTTTAGTTAGGAAACCTGAGCTGTTTTCTTCTGCATCTTCCTGATACATGGATTAAAATGGGCCCCTACTCCTTGTGTGTTAATGCTGTTTTCTCTTGCCCCATTACCTGTATATAGCAGTCCAGACCAGCATAAGAAAAAGTAGCTATGCGTAATTGGTACAAGTTTTGCCTATATTTCCTATGAAGTAATTTTACAGCAGGAAAAGTCATGATCTAGTTAGCAGGAGAAATTGCTGTGCTTTTCCCATGCCTTTTCCCGTTGTGCAAGCAGTGACACAAATGCTAGTGTACCACCTCATAAATCTAAGATCTGCAAGTGGCTGTGGAGGTAGGACTTCAGTCGGAGTCTCCCCTCATGCATACCCCAGAACTTGTTTTCCAGTAGTGCAATTCTCTTGCACAAGCAGAATGATACCATACAACCCCAGGGGATTGTATGGAATTTTCTGTACTGCAAAATATGTATTTTAATATTTATTTTTATTGTGCACTACAAAACCATCAAACTTCACCATTAGGGAAGTACAAAGAATAAAACTAAAGCAGCATACAAATAGTAAATAATTCACTCATAAAGCATTTGGGTAAGTTTTAAATCTTTTACCATATTTTAAATCTTTACACTGCTGCTAGGTTTTATTTTGGTTCTTCTTTTTTTACACTGCTGTTTTAAACATTTATATTGCATTTTATCATGTTGTATTTTATGGTTTTAATTATTGTGAATCACTCAGAGAGCTTTGGCTATTGGGCAGTATAGATGTAGTAAATAACTAATGAATGGATGGTTGAATAAGAAAGTCTTATAGCCTGCATTACAGGTATGTGAAAGTACATGCTATAGGCACTTCCCTGAAGCTATGCATGCCTGGGTCTGGACATTTCTTGGATCTGAAACCGCCTTGGTAGCTTATGTATTTCGCTTTTTGATCCTAGGAATGCAGACAGAGTAATAAGTATAATTAATAAATTAAATACACTATTTTAATTTTTGAATTTTCTCTCTCTCTTTCTCTGTGTGTGTGTGTGTGTGTGTGTGTGTGTGTGTGTGAGAGAGAGAGAGAGAGAGAGAGAGAGAGAGAGAGAGAGAGAGAGAGAGAGAGAGAGAATTTATATTCATCCTTGAGTATTTCGGCTGTTCTTTTTAGTGACAGAAAATGTTAGTCTGACTTTTATCTTCTCTTTATCTTCCAATTGCAGCAAGCTCCAGGAGATGTGTCTCGTCCTGTTCTCATTCAGGTGGCAGAATCCGCATACAGGTTTGCCCTTGGTTCAGTTGCTGGAGGTTAGTGAATGAATGAATGAATGAATGAATGAATGAATGACAATATTGCTCTTTACCTTTATTGCATAAAGAAGCCCGCAGCATTTGGGTAGCATATAAAAATGGCTTAATTATACCTATCTTGTTTTTTTCTATAGTGAGCTGAGAATTCTGTAAATGAACTGTGGAAATTACAAATAGAACTAACAGGAACAGTGTGTAGTGTGAGGTTTAGAATGCAAGTGAGCCATGCCTTTTTTCTAGAATATTCCATTCATTTCTTATACCCAACTTCACCCTGTTGGGAGGGCACCATTCTGTGCCCGCTGTGCATGTTCGCCAGAGTGGACTCAATTTAATTTACTACCTTAGGTAGAGCAGAAAATGATGCTGCTGGACCCTGAGTCAAGATATAGAACTCTAGGCAAGCCATATTATCTAGCTTGCACTCATTGGAAGTAAAATTCATCAGTACTTTAAATAACTGTTTGTTATCTTTTCATGGCACCCCAAATCATTCTAATATTAGGGTCAGCTCTGAAAAATGCTGCTTAATTCTTATTGGGCTATTTTGCATTTCTCCTCTCCATTTCATTTTCTAATATATATATATATATGCACACTTATTTATACACTGGAATTTCCTGAAGCCTGCTGATGTCTGTACTACATACGGGTGGGCATTCAGATAGTTCAGGTTACTCTTGCTGTATATGATGTTAACTTCAGGCAACTTAATTTTGGACTGTCATGTAACAACATCCTCAACCAAAAAGAGCAGGTATTTTCACCACGGTTGACAGGGTTCATGAAAATAAAGACATTCTAAATTGTATGGCTCCTTGAAGTTGGCTGTTCCCGTTCTGGTACCACAAGTATGCAAAAAGCTAATTATCTTCTGGGAAATCTTGGGATAATATATTTCTTCCAGCTCTTACCAACCAAATTAACAACTGGATCTATCACAGAGATGTGTGCTGAAGCCTACTGATACCAGGGAATACGTTCCGGCTTTCAATACTATTTCTTTCCAGAGTATTGCAAAACAAACTGTCCGTAAAATGAAGCAGGGTCAAAATGGAGCTGAAGGAGACCATAGCCATAATCTTGAAACTGGCCCCAAGTGTTTCATGTGACCTCCAGCTTCCCTATCTCCCACAAACAGTAGCTTCGTGTGTCACATGAGAAAACCCTTTTTAATTCAGGGAGAGTTTGAAAAGCAGCTGCAGTGCGCAATTGGGTGTACAGAAGTGCTGTTTAAGGGGATGAGTATGTCTGCTGGGTCCACAGAAGTTCTTGGCGGTCCACTCACAGATAGTGGTCCATGCGCATTACTAACTTAGGATAAATCTGGTGTAATGAAATTTCATCACACTTGGTTTCCATTTGCTTTTACCATCTGCAACTTACCATGAAGCTGTTGGAGCCACGGCAGTGTATCCAATTGATCTCGTCAAAACCCGGATGCAGAACCAGCGCTCCTCTGGGTCGTTCATTGGGGAGTTGATGTACAAGAACAGCTTTGATTGCTTTAAGAAAGTCCTGCGCTATGAAGGATTCTTTGGGCTCTATCGTGGTCAGTATCCAGATGTTTCATACATTTCTTACATTTGTGAAAGAAATCAAAATTGTTTTGCTGCCAGCATGGATTTCTTTATTCTTTTTGATTGATCTTAATGTAAAACCAGAATGTTTTAATTTTATTACATCAGTTGCTCCTAGTATTGATCAGATAATGATCATTAGCTGCATGCCTGGTGCCCTGCCACTACTAAATTTGTTGCAGTAGAAAAATAAAACAAAAAACCCACACCAAGTTTGCTGGTGTAACACTAACAAGAACCTATTTAGCTTTAAAACAATGCTTAAAAGCCCTTTGTGGTAGTAATTGTAAGGTGGTGCATCAGTTACAATGCCGACTCCTTTCTTGCAGAGGAGAGACCCATGATCCAAAGACGTTATCTGCACACTAAGGACAAATTGCCTGGATAATGCCAAGCAGCAGGTCCCACAGCTTGAGGAGACTGGCTACTGCAGTCACTTTGATTAGCACCCCAGTACATTCATTCACTATTGTTTCCCCCCTCCCCACCTCAATTATCTCAATGCACTGGTAGAAAGAGGTACATGGCAGCATCCAAGGAAAAATCACCAGAATTATTATTATTTATGATACTTGATATCTCAGCAAATTCTGCAATGACAAATGGTACAAGACTAAAACAAGTAAAAGAATTAAAACAATACATTAAAAAACCGATACAATAAGAACAGTAGCTAGTCAACAAGAATGGCCTCCCAAAACAAACATGTCCTTAACTGGCACTGAAAACAGAACAGGATTGGTGTCTGCCTGATTTCCCAAGGCAGGGAATTCTGTAGAAATGGGGCTGACACACTGAAGGCTTTTCTCCAGATGCACTCCAATTGGTTCATGGGTTTGTATGGGACCATCAAAAAATAACCTCAGTGTCTGGGCAAGTTTGTAAGGGAGAAGGAGCTCTCTCAGGTGTCCTAGTCCCAAGTTTTTCAGGGCCCTGTACACTAGTGCTGGAACCCTAAACCTGCCCCAGTAGTGAACAGGCAGCCAATGCAGTTCCTTCAGCCAGAGAATTGCCCGCTGAAACTCCAGCTCCCAGCAGCACCCAAACTGCTGCATTCAGCACCTGCTTCCGCTTGTAGTGCATCCTTAAGGCAGCCCTACATAGAGCCCATTGCAGTAATCCATTTTTGAGAAACGCATGCATAGTACCCTTTAGGGCTTTGAGGGTCCATGGGAAAAGGGTGTGTTATGGTTTCCAGTCTTCTTAGGTCATTGGGAACTTTAGGACCTTTTTTTGGTAGAACCCTGCAGGCCAGTAAGGTCCTTTTGCCTCTGGAGTTGACCCTTTTGCAGTTCTTCACTTTCAGTAATTTCAGGAATGGAAAAGAAATGATTGGGAAAATTTAAATGTGTTTATTTTGGGTCAGCCTATATTCCTGGCATGTCTAGGTCCGAAGTTACATGAATTCCAGGGAGCAAGGAGCCCCAACAATGAACCACACTGTTCTCCGGCTCCTTCCTTATTGTTCCCAGAGCGGCTGGTTTTTAACAGCTTCTCAAGCAGCTTCTGCCTTCTAGCAGTTAAAGACTGTGGGGCTGTTTACACAATGCAGCAGCCTGTCATGGTGTGCGGAGTGCATCCAGAGCTACTGCTGTGGATGTGTGCTCCTTGCTTGGCGGCTGTCTTGTCATGTGGATCCCACAAGTGTGAGGGTTGCAGGACTATGCATTACCCATAGTCTGTTTTAGGGTTATGCAAGGTCACATATACATCTTGGAGGTTCTGGGCACCACAGCTTATCATGGTTTAAACAACATTTTGATGTGCAACTGGTTATTTGAGCTTAGTGACAATTGTCTTTTTGTTTTTAATGCAGCTGAATCTGCTATTAGCCTGTTTTTCTTTTTAAAATGTTAATTTGAAGTGAATGCTGTGGCACTTGTATTGCAATATGTACTTATGCATTTTTGGAACCTGCACTGTTTGAGAAAAATTTCAATTCATGTGCATATCAATTCTTTTAAAAAGGGAAAACCAGCTATTTTCTTTGACAAAAGAAAATTTCCTTTGGGTTTTCATCAGCAGAACCAGGAGCAGGTGAAATTTTGAGCCATTTTCCTTTCTTTCTGTACCCCCCCTCAAATTAGCTCTACCCCCATATCTGCTCTGGAAAGTTGTTTTTTAATTATTAAATAAAAAGAAATGTTTTGAATGATTTTTGAAATACCAGATGTGCATACTTTATTAACATTACCATTCCAGAATATTTAATGTTCATTCCTTTTATGTAGGAAGTTTCTTGTCATGCTGTTTTCTTGTAATTAGCATTTAATTTTATAAGAGTACACCATAGATGAAAAAAATTGCATTAGATTTAAAGTGCCTCCAACATCTATTGCTTACATTTTTAGAAATATATCTAAGCTAATACAAATGTTAAATGCCAGAAAAATAACTCTTTATAGTGATTTTCCTTTATATTTACACATGTTTCCTTTTATTAAAATAGTGTACTACAATGTTTCTGATTTTATCCATTTTAAAATAACAAAATCTTATGCAGGCATTCTAGACAACTGAATTTCTGAATCCTGCACTTCAGGTCAAATGGGTTCTTTCAGGGAAGTAGACTTAGATATTTTCTGTGCTTTGTTCAGTAACATTTTTAAACATGCTAACTTGTGCGCAGCATTACTGCTTCAGAGTTTTCACTTTTGATAAATTTTGAAGTACCGTATAGAGGCCAGTATTCTAAATTTACGGTCTTTGATGAGGATAAAAATCTTGTGGATCTTAGGAGCCCATTAACAGTGGCTTTAATAAGACAAAACCTCAGCTGCATTGGCAAGCTAGACTGGAAAGGGAACCAGTTATTATACCATTCTTAATGAACGCAGCAAAAGCATCCATGTAATCTTTAGGTTACTTTTAATGCACCAAGTATCATAGAATTTCCTTAAAATACAATATATTACAGCTTTATCATAAGATTCATATACTGATTCCATTGGGTTAAAGACCCTCTTTTCATTCAACATTTATTTCATTTCTTATATTTTAGATGGTCCAATAAACACAGTTTTCTTTTTAATGTACAGATGAACCAAATGCCCCATAAAATTAAAAAAAGCCATAAAAATAATATAATAAAAATGACATTCAAATTATTGTAAAAGAAACCATCCAATTAACTTCTCCCACTGATAGATCAGCACCTCTTAGTGGAACAGTGCCAACCCATCATGGATCCAGCAGCCCCCAGTATCTTGCTGAGAGCAGACTGGGGTCGTAACACAACAACTCACTGTGACTAGTTACCAGTAACAGATTGTGTGTCATGCAAACCTAGTCCTAGAATATTAACAAAATATGAAGGGGCAATAGTTATAGTCTGCTATTATGTGTGGGCCTTAAATACAGGTAATATTGTAATCCAAAGAAAGTGAGGTATGCTCAGACCCTATTTAAACAAATAGGAATCATGTACGCTGAACCCTAGTGGATACACAGAGCTATTTTGATCTCCCTAGGCAATGGATAAAGACAAGAATGGATATAGCAGCCCCATAGACTTTCAGCATTGAGTATTGCATGAAAGGTAGATGAAGAAGTTGGCTTAAAATCTTTTCAAATCAACAGGAGTTACAGCAAAATTAGTTTGCTCGGAAATCAGTCATAAAGAGAAAAGAGCCAAGTGGTAAATATGCATCATATTACTCAGATTCTCATCTGAAAGACTTTTAGATACCTCTTAAAATTTGTCAAAAAAACCTATATGGGGTTGTATGGTGTCATTTCATTCAAACATGAAAATTTGTATAACTGCATGTTTTTGCTTTGTTGACTTTCTCAAAAACAGTTGCTTCAGCAAGTGGCAAATCATCCTAAAACACTGGCTCACCAGTGTAATTAATCTAATTTCCCCCTTCTCACTTTGTCTGTATGCAACATTTTATGTGGCACATTGCAGTATTTTCTTTCAGAATTGTCAATAGCAGAAATCAGAACTGGGACACATACAGGCATGTATCCTAGTCAGAAGCCTCATATTGTTCTGTCAAAACCTCCTTTTAAAAGAGGCCAGAGTTTTGACAGACGATCATAAAAGGTTTGTAGTTGTGCAGGTAAAGTCAAATTAGGCCTATATTTTAGTTCTTGTTGCACAAATACTTTTGTACATTTTTAAAACAATCTGACAGCTCCTCTAAAGTGCCACTTCAGTAATTTGAAAGGCTGAGGTTGGTGGTTAAAACAGGAATCACAAAAACCAATAGTCAAGTTGACTTCTGTGATCTCCAAAACAAAGGGAGGAAGGCGGTAAAAAGCTCCAGTCAGCCTGAAGCTTACAATTATAGCAGGGAGGGGGTCAGTTCAGTCCTCCTGCAGTGTCCTCTGGGTACCCACAGGAGCAATGAGGGAAGAGGAGTTGGGGGCAACTAGCTTGGTCATCTGTCAGAGTCATCATTGGTTGTTTGCATGGCTTATGGTCAGGATGGATTAGTGTGACATGTGAATGCACCCATTTTCTTGCTGATGCTAATAATTAAATCTTGGCATTTACAAAGTTCTTCCATTTCTCAAAAAAAAAAAAATATATAAACAATGTTTTAGAAAACTTACTGCAACCTTTCAACCTTACCACAATAAACCTGTGAAGAAATGGACACAAAATAAAACATTCTTTGCAAATATCCTCAATCATAATACACAGGTTTGTGTTTTTGCACACAGCAATGAGCCAATGTGTTGTGAGCCCTAGCAAAAATCTGTCAAGGACAGCAATCTTTGGATTGTGCCTAACAAGTTTTTATTAATCCAGTGTGCTACCAGCTTGCTTCTCCTGTCCCTTGCATACTCCCATAAAGGCCCCAGAATCTCCCAATTCTTCATAGAAAATTTATGGAGCATGCAGATGGCTGCAGCAGGGAGGGGAAATCCATTCCACTGCTGTTTCAATCAATATTATGCTGATCTCTGCAGCTATTTTTGTTTAATACTAGGTACTCATGTTAGACACAGTTGTTGAACATTGCCTTAAAAGTTGTTCCCAATCGCTTTATTGGTGAAATCCATATAGACCTGTTTATTTGCTAACTTGCTACTATGTTTATATGATATATATATATTTATTCTTCATATCTGTACAGGTCTTTTGCCCCAGTTATTGGGAGTGGCCCCAGAAAAGGCCATCAAGCTTACTGTAAGTTTAATGCAACAAACTATTCTATATAATTTATTATTTTGTGTTCTGAATTTCCAGTAGGACAGCTTTGGTTGACTGTATGCTTAAAGCTGCGATAAATGCCTAATTCATACCTGTAGTGATGGCCTCAGTTTGGATAAATTTAAAAGTGGATTGGACAAATTCATGGAGGAAAAGGCTATCAGGACTGCTAGTAGTTAAATGCTCTCTCCAATATCAGAGACTGTTGCTGGAGAACATGGGTAGGATGGGGCCATTGCAGTCATGTCCTGCTTGTGGGTTTCCTTCGGGCAGCATTCTTGAACAGAATGCTGAACTAGGTGGTCTGATCTTGGCCTGATGTGGCATGGTCTTAGACTCTTATAGCATCCTTGGATAAGGCTATACTTGCAAAAAACAATACACTTTCATTTGACCTCTGTATGTAAGTCTTATTTAATAGAGGTGTGCAGGCATCACATTTCTCTGAATTCCTTTATTACTGGAAACCTGGGCCCACAAATCTGAGGCAGGAGCAAAATGATATAGTCAAATAACTTGCTCCACCCCATGAGCCATACAATCTGTGCACAAATGCAAATCTATCTCTGAGTAACTGTAGGGTTCTCTTTCTCTCTCCTCCTGCCCCTCTCTCCCTCTCAAAACAAATAGGAGCACTTCAGAAAGACGTAATAAAAGATATTGAACTAATACTCATATTTTACAAGCAAAGAACCATGAGACTAAGAGATAAACAATACATACAAGTGTAGCCAATAGAACATTTGTTTGTCCTTTCAGTTTTAATTGCGATTGTTAAATTAATTAATTAATCTACCAGCAGCTGCACATCTACCATCTGCTAATCTCTGCTATATAGTTTGTTTCTGTGCGGTTTGGTCCATTTCACACCTACCATATATACCAGCGTATAAGACGGCTCTTGAAACCAAAAATCAGAAAGCAAAAATTGGAGGTTATCTTATATGCCCAATTTATATAAACAGTCTAAAGTAATCACATTGTCTTATACCCAAGTCTCCTTATACTCTGATGTATATGGTTATTTTTCTGAAATGTACTTCCTGGTTGCTTGTTCCACACATTATTATCATATAAATCAGTGTAAAAGATGACCCTTGAAACCAAAAATAGCAAAGCAAAAATTGGGGGTCATTTTGTGTGCCCAACATACGAGTATAACAAACACCAGAAAATCAGCCCAGTGTATCAACCTCGCCTTATATGCCAATATATACGATACATTCATGTCCTGCTCATAGGTTTCCTGTGGGCAGCTTGTCAGCTGCTGTGTGAAAAGAATTCTAGGCTAGATGGAATCTAGGGAAGTCTGTCTTACTGTTTGTGAGCTGCATGCATGTAAATGTTGCCCGATAGAGTCTGCTGCAAGTCTCAGCAGCTAAACAAAGCACAGACATCGTGTTCATGGTTTGTTTAGCATGAGCCAGAAACTGTGGCTTGCCTCTCCTCCAGCAAGCCAAACTCATAAGCCATGGTTGACTGTCAGCGTCACTCTCTGGCTTGCTGAGGGAGCAACAATTTGGGTTTCCAGTTTGGACATCCTGCTAAACAAACCACAGACAAAAGGCACGTGGTTTTTTTAACTGCTCCCACTTTCAACAAGAATGATCACACTATTCCTAAACTATTATGGCTTATTGTAATGTTCGAACTGGGCTTCTGATGGAATCCTGTCATTTGCCAGGTTCATTAGAAATGTTCCATTTGGCAGCTTTGCATGATTTGATTCAGAAAAGCCAAAACCTTGATTTTCCTTTCCACTTTATTGCTTAGCAGCTTAATATAAATAACTGTGATATTCAGCAAAAATCTTATACAAAGTAATTCCATGCATATATTTTCATATGCCTTACAGTTTTCTGTAGATTTTTTTTCAAAATGTAACTAATAAATTCATAAATAACAATTACTTTGAATTTTAGGCTGAAATCTTATGGAAACCAATCTTAACTTGGTTGAAATTACTAGTGTTTTTTTTCAAGAGCAGGCTACCAAGCACTGTGGTACTTTTGAAAGAATGTTTGTGAACATCTGAAATGCTTACATTTTGCTATCTTTAGAAATGAACATTGATACCTACATTCTTCTGTAATTCTGTAATTCTATTTTAAATTCACTTTCCTACATGTTCATTTATTATATTGATAATAGGCATATTTTTGTAAACCTTTAAAATATATAGTATATTAAGTATTTATAGTGTGCATATTTAAAGAAGCTATTAAAATGCACTATATAAAACATACCAATATATACTTTCAATAATATCAATACTAATAATGGTGCATGCTTTCTCTTTTTGTTCAACTGTTTTCAAGGTGAATGATTTTGTGAGAGACAAATTTATGATGAGAGATGGTTCTGTTCCTCTTGCAGCAGAAATACTTGCTGGCGGCTGTGTAAGTATCTCTTCTATTTTATTTTATTCAAGATGGATTGTTTCCTTAATTTTGCATATAACCACAATTAATTTTAGCTGGAATATAGGATTCTGAAACTTAACTGGTTTCCTTCTTCATTAGCTAACTAGGGGCAGCCATTTAAATGTGGAATACTAAATATTGTTGATGCTTTTAAAACCAGCTACTTATTCATTGCTTTTGGAGCACCTTACATTGACATTTAAAAGGTTCACTGACCAAAGCTTATCGACTTAGTCGTATTTGATGTATGTTAACTTAGCTGAAAGTAGATTTAGTGCATACTTTAATTGTGGCAATTACTCTATCTTGTTGTCTCTTTTCTACCCATCCCCTCGCCTCGCCACATGTTCCTTGCACTGACTTCCCTGTTTATGCTGTAACACTGGCTTTGCAAATAGCCAAAACTGCTTTCACTGGTTGTTGCCATAGTGTTGTTAGGCTTTGTAACATTAACTCAATACATTGTGTGTTCCATAATGTAAGCTGTATATAAAATGTATTACATGAATCCTGTTCTGCTTTTATGGAGTGGTAACTTAATGAACAACCTGTGTTTCATTCACTACAATATTTCTGCTACTTAGTTTTGCAGCAACAATCCATATAATTATCACAAGTGTGGTATCTGTGGTCGGGGTGGGGGCTATTGATTTTGCAATTATAAATCCTTTTTTTTTTTTTTACATAAAATGAACTCTTGTTCAAAGATGAGTGTCATTTAAAAGACAGAGAGCACTGTTCATTTAAGCCAGCTTTGATCAGTAGGGCAGGGTAGAGCTGGTGGACTTCCAAACTGACTGGCAAATTTCTGCTGTCATAAGAAGGATGAGGTCATTCTTTCAAAGCAATTCATATCCTTGCCAGAAAGAACATGGAAGTGCAAACCAAATCCCAGCAAACAGTACTGTAATAACAGGCAAAGAAGAGATCCATGCTGTTGTGCTTGCAAAAAGCACAGTGCAGTATGTGGCTTAGCAGCCTCTATTTATTCAGTGGAGTGCAGGCTGAGAGGATCTTGCTTTCTGCTGTTCTCCCAAGAGTGATGGGAGAATTGTCTGTCTGCTCTGTTTGATCAGTGACCTATCACACAGTGCCTGGTAGATTCACCTGAGCTGTAACTGAAGGAGTATTCAGAGAGGAGGATGTTCCAAGGTAAAAGAATATTGAGCTTTCCTTCTCCCATTCCACACAGATATAAAACAGAGTAAAGCAAATTAAACCAGGAGAAAATTATTGCTGATGCTGAAGAAAGATCACCAAATGATCCAAAACCCCCTCAGTCATTTATGACAGAACTGATCGCCTGCATAGCACTGCATAAGCACTGCATGAGTTCATGTACAATATTGTCTGTCTGCACACCTGCTTTACTTTTCCTATTTATTGCAGTTTAATTACTGTATTTTTTTAAAAAGATATCCATACTGTTCCATGAAAATGTTTTTCAAAATTCCCAGTTCTTCCTTCCAAAGTGCATTGTTTATGTTACTGGAACTACAACACCCTCAACTGCCTAATTAACTCAGGGTGCCACGTGTTCTGATGATTCTAAGGCCCTGAACTCTGCAGCTTACACTCATCCTGTGCAGAGCAAGAAGAGCTGTGGAGGAGACCGTTGTCTCCTCATCTCCTGCTGTGCATTTTCACTATGCAGGCTTATTTGCCTGTCTAGTGACAGCATTTCAAAAGGAAAGGAAGGAAGCTGGGGAGGCCATAGGATAGCTCATATCCTGGCTTCTTCTTTGTGGCCTCTGTGCATCACACATTATGGGCGCTATGCCTGTCCAGTGCCTGTTGTCAGAAGATTAAAAAGCTTTAATGGTTTTCGGCGGGCACTCTGTGCCCCCCCCCATAATATAAATGGACGGAGTGCCCTCCATTTCTTGGCTTCTCCACTCACCTCTACTCCCCATTTATCTAAATGTTCTGTTTCCCTCTTCTCAAAGCTTGCTTTCCCAGCCCCGAAGAACAGCTTGTGCAGTTCTTTCCATGCTGGCTGGGAGGGGTCAGGGGTTGGAACTCCAGTTGCCAGCTCTGAGGTTGGAGTGCTGTCTCTAACCACAGATCTGGAAATCTGAAATATTCTGTGACCTCTCAGACACTGCTAAGATTACTTCGTCCATTTGCAATTTCCATTTTTAGACTGGGTCTATTTAATTTGCATGCTCATGGGCACCAACTGGCCAAAGTTTGAAACTGTAATGTTTTTTCTTCCACCCACTGGATTTCCCACTGCCTTGCTTGATGAAGAGTTCTGGATAATTCAAAAGTTTGCACATTTTTCTGCTTTTTGGCTGGACCTAATCAAGTTATTGGCCAACTGTAGATATTTATTTGTTTGTTTGTAAAGCTGCTGCTCTCCTTTTAATTTACTGTGACTCTGTTATGTCCCAAAATAGGGCAGTGCCTTACCCATGTTTGTTTGTTTGTTTAATTTTTATGCCTCCTATTAGTGAAGGTGGCTGTCAAGGTGTTTTCCAAAAGTGCTGTACATGCTGGAACTCTCTGTTGGCATTCCTACTCTAAAATTAATTATGTGATTCTGCATAATTTCCTGGCTGTAAATATTTGATGGCAAACAGCCCAGGGTTTTCTTTGAATTGCAGTGTTTAACTAAGGGGCATAAAGCAGTGCCAGGTAAGTAGGATGAGACTTGTGTTGTCTCCCTGTGGGTGGTCTTGCTTTGTTATGTTTTGTGTTTAGTTCAGAGCTGGCAGCACCAAATTAAGAATAGTAATGCCCTGTGTATTGTGCAACGGTGGCCTCTCTCTTTGGTGGTTTGAAATGCAGGCTTAAGGCTTGACTCTAGTGGATACATGTTTTTCCTTTTTTGACCATCCCCATAGTGGAGTGGTGATTTCAGGGCAAAACTGGGGGGACGTTTAACCATCACCTCCTAGAATTTGGTGGTCTCTAATCTAAACTGAAGCAACGTGCACTTATAATGGAGTAAAAAAAATCCCCCAAAAGACATGTAGCTCAAAACTACATGTTGAGTGATTAGCATGACATGTCATCTGATTCTTAGATGTGATATTTGCTAAGAGGACTTCATCTGGCCCAGTGGATGCCCAATCTTTTATAGGACTTACTGCAGCACCATGTAGTTCTGCTGTTCTAAGGGGAAGATGCATTATTATCATTACTTTACGTTTATATCCCACCTTTTTCCTTCTTGTGAGAAACCCAGTGGCTTACATAGTCCTCTTCGATTCCTCACTATGACAGCCCCGTGAGGTCTGTTAGGCTGAGATGGAGTCTTGCCCAAAGTCACCCAGTGAGCTACATGGCCAAATGGAACGAGAACCCAGTCCAACACTCCGACCACTATGCCTCACTGGGTCTCTGCACAATATACCAGTTCTAAGGCTACAACTGGAATATGGAGAAGAGCTTCTTAATTGTTCCCTTTTCAGATACTCAGACACTGACTTTCTGCTATCCCTACTAGACAGCAGCTCCTAAGATTATATTCGGGAGTCAAGAATAATTGTGAAGTCATCTGTTGAAATGTTACATATGCAGATGAATAGGAAACATACACTAAGCAAGAAAGTAGCAGTCACAACATAAGCTTATTTATATTTACTGGAAAATAGATGGTTTTAATTACAATAAAATGTACCTGTATAATGAGAGGTAAGCCCCATTGAATTCAATGGGACTTATTCCCAGGCAATTGTGCATATGATTTCAGCCATTAAAGCAGGCAGTTTTCTTTAGCTTTCATTATAATAAAGTCTGAGTGATTTAATTTAGCTTATATTTTGTAAATAGACTACAGCTTAGAGGTGATGGCAAGATAGTTGTTTATTTTAGTAAAGAACCGACAACAAGGGCATCTAGAGAAGGAGCAAGTGTTTCAAGTGACTTAGCAGATATATTGTCCTTCTGGAATTCCAAGCACTTTGATGGGGTCGGTGTCGCATGAACAGTTGTGCTTGGCAGTTTGCGACGTATTTGGCATTCACTGACTTTTGAGTCACTGGGGAGCTCACTTTGCAAGATGATTACTGAGAATTAGTACACATGGTTGACTTTTGCACTTACAACCACAAAGCTGCTTCTTTCATTAAGAAAAGCCGCCTTCAGTTTCATAAACTATTTTATTCACTGGGAAAAATAGATGGTTTTTGTTTCATGATCCCATGGTACTTAATTCAGCTGACAGCCAATTTCATCTTCTTGGAGTTTTGTTTTTTGTTTTTTCATTTTTTTAAAAAAGGAAAGGAAAATAATCTTGGAAGTTTATTTTGATATAGGAAGTAGATTAAAGAGGATTGATGTATAAATTACTCTGTGGAATCAGAGTGGTAAAATATTTCTCATCTACAAAGGCATTTAAACAATATATGTTTTGCAGTGTTTAGCAGGCCAAGACATAAAGTGCTTTGATGACATGTCTGGTCTTTACACTTTTAGTGTTCTGATAGCTTGATCTACAATTTGATCTTGATCTACAAATCTTTGGAGTTTCCAGCATAATTCTTGTTCCCCCAGCTCTTTGCTTGCAGGACTTTGTAGTATAAAAATGGCGTGGGTATATCTGTGGACAAAATGACCTTACTTTTTAATCTTTTGCACACTTAGTTTTACAAATCCTTATTGTGTAGTATCATCTTGGTGTTATAACTGCCTATACAGAAATCTTAAATGCAACTATTCTTTCCAATTCCTGCAGGGAGACAGAGACTGGATAAAATTACTAGTGGTGTTTTACCTTTAGAAACAATTTTAGAAGGCATTTTCTGTCAGTAATACTTCCCAGAAAACTATATGTGATTGGAGCCAGTTTATGATAATCTAATAGCTGTTAACTTGGATGCAAATCCTATTTGAAACCAATGGGAGTTTCAAGCCAATATGCTTAGGAATTGCAATATAAGAAGGAATTGGAGAGCACCAAAATGCCATTGGAGATGGAGTCAGAGTCAGTGCACATACACATAATAAAGGTACTATTGACATAATATAGA